CGTAGATCATGATGTTCTGTTAGAATCGCTGAAAACTGTTTTCCAAAATTCGCAGCGGGTAGTGTACAGCATCGATTTCCGTGGAACCCAGTAGCTGTCAAAACTTTCACATTTTTACGAATAACTCGGAAATCGTAAATTTTTCAGGTAAAACGTTTGACACAAACTTAACTTAAATTTTGGCGACAAATCTGAAAATGAATGAAAAAAGGGGCGGTTCCATTTAAAAAACCAAAGTTGGTAACTACCACACGTTTATGATACACCCCGTATATTGGAAAATAATTTTAAAATGTGGACCTTTTAAACATGAAAAACTTTCGTAGGACGTATTTTCTTGTAAAGTTCATATTTACTGAGATATCGCACTTTGGCGCACTAATGAGCAACCCTGTATATAAATAATCTTTATTTCCTACAGAAAAAGGCTATCGACCCAATCGGTATTTCTGCCCTGATTTTCCATTTATAAAGCTATGTAATTAATATATCTTGAAACAGTCGAAGTACACAGTGCAAACAGAGGTCTTTACACTTGTCGCTGACAATTCACTGAAAAATCTAAAATACAATAAAATGAAATTTCAATTCGCATCTTTGCAAACAATCAACGTTATTTTAGTTCTTCAGTAAATATGATGCATCCTGCACTTTATAACGACGATCAACAAAAACGTGACAGCAATGTTATATGTAACCGAATTTCGTTGCCAATCTTTACCTTTGCATGCATTGTCTTTGAAGTAGCAACAATAGCGAACTTAAAATGAAATTTTATTTATGGACGACCTCCAATTATTGTAAATCGTAAATTTAGCTTTAAAATAGTAGGTAATTGAAAATTATTATTTTCCATGCTGATGCCAAGTAATAACACATGGCTAATTAATAATATTTAATCGGTCTCGAAATGTTTAAAGCATATCAAACATTATAAATAACTACCGATGGATATTTACATAATTCAGGCAAATAATGGATTGCATTAGACAAACGAAATCATTGAAGTGCACATGATTTCAACTAAGTAAATTGTGACAAATCACTTAATGCTCACATATTTATGTTAATTCAAATAGAACTAAATACGAATTTTCTCATTATTTTCACTCGCATTGTAAATATTTATGCCACACAACGCATCAATCTGCGTAATTCCATATAAGCAACGATAAACTAATTTAAAAATATACGAAAATATTATTCAAACGTGATGTTGAATCTAACCGTTCAATTAAGTGTGCATGAATGGTTGGTCATCATGTTAAAAAAAAACACTATCGCAATACATACTAAACAAAAACGTATTTAAATGATTCCCTTCCCACAACATGGGAGCAATTTTAATTACCAAACCAAAGTCCAAACTCATTGTAGTCCTACTATTTCCATTTTGTAAAGCAAATTGTGTATTTACGTATTAAGCAAAGTTAATATCGCAGTTATCGATTTTCTATAATAATGTAGCATCGAAAATGTACTACATAATACGCAGTAACTAATGTTGGAAGAATAAAGGTCAGGGTTAAGACATTTCATCACGGATCATTATTTCAGTTTTCTTATTACTTATATGAGTTAGACGATACAAAAGATAAAATAAGTTATATGATACATACCTGACGATTTTCGCCCGGACCCAGCAGAGGAGAATGAGCCTGAAATAAAAGAAAATATATGTTAAGCCTTTGCTTGCACTGTGATTAATATCCAATCGTATACTAACTTTGTATATAATTTAATTTAATAATAATTTAATTTCGTGTTCAGTTAGAACCAATTGACAACTTTAAAAAAAGTAACGTTTTATTACTATTAATAACAGTAAAATGCAAAATTTGTTGGAACAACTTCTTTCTTCATTTTGTATATACTTAAGTAAAATAAGATACATGTTATAATACATTTAAAATTAGAAAATATGCCTGATAAGGTTAGGTTCGATCAAATGTCGGTTCTTTCCTTTATAAAAAAAAACTCACCAATACCAGCCACGTCTAGAAAATCGACATGCGTCATTAGGAATCATTCATAAATTTAATGCATACCTGCTTCTGTTCGATTCGAATTAGTTAAAGTTCTGAAGACAATATATATTGCTACTTTATTCTATTAGTTACTTGACATTTTATTGAAATTCGGCGTTAAGTTCCAAATCGAATTACCTATTTATTGCTCTAATTGTCGTTTTCTCAGTATTTAATTGGTGCGATCCCTGAAGTTGATACAAACTTTTGAGGCAAGTAGTAGGTATATACTTAGCCAAAAAGATTTTGGCGGATTGAAATTTTCGAATCAATTTTGAATCACCATTTTTAAAAAGAGGTTCCACAGAAATATTTTAATCATTGTTCGGACAGTTTGCAGAACAGGAAATGATTTTCTCAACTCAATGAGTAGGTCAAATATTTGTGTTAAAAATTTTGAATTATTAATGTTATATTTCTCCTCGGTCATAATTTGGTTTGATATATCTTATTTAAAAAGAATGTAGCATTTTAAATATTCTATAATCAAATGAAACTTACGATATAACAAAACACAAACATTAAAAACAACTAACAACAAAATTATAAACTGAACAAGTTTCAAAAGCATAAACATGTTGCGGTAACACAAATGAAAAAAGATAATTAAAAAATCTGCAGAAGGGAACTGGAAAAAAATATGGATCAATGTTCATCAATTAAAATTCTGTAATTTTAGCAATGTTTTGCTACCTCAACATACTATTCTATTAGTTATATTATTATTATATATAATTATAATTATAATTAATTATATTACTTATTTTGACCGATTCCGTTATATGACAAATTCCTAGCATTAAAAGATGTCGAAGCAAAAATATGAAAATTATAAGAGGTTTTGAACCTATTGGATTGACCGTCTTTAGAACTGTATTTCGCTAAACAAGTTTCATCAGAAAATGCTAATCTGTAAGGAGAAACGGATCGGGTTTCCCAGGTTTTGCTCTCAACTTGGCGAAGAAACTTTCGGATAAAAAAATAGAAATATTCTCCAGATTTGTTTTAGACTATATTGATAAAATGCTCAGATGCGACTTTTTGCAGGTTTGCGGAACTTTTCAAATCACCCTTAAAGAATATGAACTTTGAAAACTTGTTAGCTCTGTTGATAAAACTGTGTTGATAAAATTGGGTATAATTTACACTTTTTTCAGTTCCATCATTTATTTTCATAGTAACAAATTTATGTATCGTATAAACTAAATCGAATGACAAATTTGAGAGTTGATCTTGCAGCTAAGCATGCACTGTAGCTATCTCACTATCTCAGTGTTCACGCATTCCATTTCATTACTTAAATTACTTGCTGTTTATTTATCTCTCGGGCTCCACATACAGCCGCAGACTTGTGTGTGCGAATCTGCAGATACACGGGGATGGATTCAAAGCAAATAAGTTAACAGTTTCGCCATATGTTCCGCTTGGCCTCTCACCAACGCAATATCCCGAAATTAAATTAAATAGTGACGAAAGGGTGAATACTCCAATGTAATTAAACATCAACTCAGATCCGAAAGTTTTCATAATGCCGTTTATTTTAGGTAAAATATCAAATTATATGTGGTGCAATTAAAAATAGGATTCAATTGCATATTGCTTACTCTTCAGAAAAGATGAAGATGTTAAAGTAGCGTTTGCTTATCGCAAAAGAAACCCGCAATAATCAAAGAACAATTATTTATTTTCTCAGATACTTAATTATTTATTTTAAAGCAATTAACGAAATAGACCATTTGAACGAGACAGGAACGCCAAAACATAGTAGCCCCAGTTGCAAAAGAAATCAAAATTGCTATAGCATATACAGGGTTGCTCATTAGTGCGTCAAAGTGCGATATCTCAGTAAATATGAAGTTTACAAGAAAATTCGTCCAACGAAAGTTTTTCACGTTTAAAAGGTCCACATTCTAAAATTACTTTCCAATATACAGGGTGCATCATAAACGTGTGGTAGTTACCAACTCTGTTTTTTTAAATGAAACCCCCCCTTTTTTTTGTTATTTTCAGATTGGCCGTTCAATTTTAATTTATGTTTGTTTCAACCGTTTTACCAGAAAAATTTACGATTTCCGAGTTATTTGTAAAAATGTGAAAGTTTTGACAGCTACTGGGTTCCACAGAAATCGATGCTGTACACTACCCGCTGCGAATTTTGGAAAACAGTTTTCAGCGATT